AATAATTAAGCTATGATCAGCGTATATAACTAATTTTTTTTGATCAGGTGATAGGAATATTGAATATTAATAGGAAAGATCAATAATTTCCTTATCATAAAAAAAACAAAATTAATTAAAAAATAGATACTTATTTATTTTTACATTTATATTGATAGTCAAATTAAAATTTATAGAGTAGATAAGAATAACTAACTAAATAACTATCATGCATTCAGTTTAAATATCAATTAAACTTTTTTTTAAAATTTAATAAAAATATTAATCAAAACAATAAAAAATCTTAAATAAAAATTAATTAATTTAAAAACTTTAAAGTACAAAAAAATAAAATATTTGGTAAAATGGGAAACTTCTTTAACAAAGTTTAAGTAAAAACTGATGCGTTTTTCTAAGCACACCATTCTAATTAGCATCACAATACTCATTCTTAGTAACCTCCTCATTTAGGTTAATATCCTCCTCCTCCTGAAATGTAGGCTTAGTACCCTCCTCACTAATAATAAGGATAATATCCTCCACCTCCTCCTGATATGCACGCCTAATAGTGCTCATTCCCTCCATAGTAATAAGGTTCTTTCCCTCCTCCACCACCTCCTTTTGCTGATTAGTTTTAACCTTAATAGTTTGGTTGCCAAAATCAAAATCCTTACTACAAGGATAAAAGAAAATCAGTCTTCAAAAAATTTAGCAAAAAAGCTGGTAAAGACAACCACTAAAATTCAAACTACTTTGATCACTTAGAGTAATCTAGTTTGAAAGATTCATTGTATCCACCTGATGTTAAAAGAATAACAGTATTCCACGACAATAACATAATAGTAGGTATAGAAGTTACATATTAAACCTTAAGACCCTAGAATACAACTACAATTTCAAGCAAAGGTACTTCTTGCTATGGTTTAGTTAAGTCTTCTTCTATCAAATTGAGCTTCGGTGAACATATTTAAGAAATATCTGGTCGTGCTGGAGATTCAATAGACCGCATAAAAATTAAAACTAGCAAAAACTAAGTTTTGGAAGTAGGTGGATTCGGTGGCTAGCCATTCAATAATATTCTTAAACGTCCCTATCCAAATGTTTTAAGTTTTGGAGGTTCCACACGTGAATATTTAGATTCAATTTATGTCATTTATAATTGAAATTTAATAAATTTTAAAACCTTTAAAATATATTTGTCTTTATATAAAGTAATTAGTTAATTAAGTAGTTAAATAATTTTAGTTATCCAAAATGTTTAATAAATAAATAAATAAATCATTGAATGAAAATTTTTTGTGAAATTTGAAATGATATCAAAATTAAAAAAAAATAATTAATTGATTATTTAGCAATGATTCGGAAAGATAGATGGACGGACGATCAGAAAGAATTTTTTAATTAAAAATTTGACTGATTATTTATTTATTTATTTTTTTAATTGAGAAGGATTTTATTTGCTTGTAATTTTGTTATGAATGGCAAGATATTTTTGATTGATTTATCTATGTAAAATTTTGTTTGATAAATTAGAATGTGAATGAAAAGTCAATATTTAGCAAAATAATCATTTAGTTTTATTTAATTTGCAAATGAGTGCTGAATAAATAATAAATTATTTAAAAGAACGCAAAGAAAAGCTAGAGAATCTTCACTAAATAGTCAATAAAAACAATATTGTTAGCAAGAATAGTTCAAAGAGGAATTTAGATAAAGCAATTATTTTTTCTTAAGTTTCATTTGTTAGTTTTTATAGTCTTTTTTTCTTGAAGATTGTTCTATTTAATCATTATCCGCGATTTAACATTGCCAAAAAGTTTTTTTCTTTATGGTTTTACTAAATGACGATTGACCCTCTCACTCTCGGAGCAGGTAAATTTTAAAAAGCAAACTTAAACAGATAAATTATCCCTTTTTATTATTCTAGGTTACAGTGGGTCACTTCTCTATTCGCATTATGAAGATTTTAAGTCAAAAAAAAATAGTTGAAAAAAAGTTAAAAAAAGTAATTATGAATAACTAAAAAATTAAATAAATAGATTGATTGATTAATTTAAAGATTTAAAACAATTTCAAAGAAATGTTTAAGTTATTTAGCAAGCTTATAAATAATAAATAATAAATATATTTTGATATAATTTAATTTAAATATCTATCTAAAGTGTTGTAAAAAAAATATATATATATCTTGCTCGTCTTCTATTATATTTTCTTAAACAGACCCATAAAAATTCGCTTCCAAATATTTTCCACTTTAAGTAGAAATTATTTTAAGTCTTTTATACCCGCTTAATTCATTCAGATCTGTAATAGAACTGTCATTCAACCCCAAAAATCTAGTGCTGATATAACCTTCACCAATTAGGTTCAAATAAGTGGTAATGCGGGACAAAAGACTATCGACATTTGATACACTATTTATCAATGGATGTCTTATTTTTTTTATCTATTTCGATTTGTATTCTATATTTATGAGACATTGATCCTATTAAAATACGTCAAAAAATAACTTGTTAAAACAAATCCAATTAATTAATTAATTATTTTTATATAATAAATTTCATTAGTAAACTATAAATTTTTCATAAGAAATTCTTACTAAAAATAGCTTAGCTTAAAAAATATTCTAATAAATGAATTTTGCTATTAAATATTTAATTATATGAATACAATATTTTATCTAAACGTTTAAAATGCTTAAAAGACCTTAAAAAATTATCATTTTTAATTTTTTTGAATTTAAGTCAATAAATAAAAAAGATAAATCAATTTTTACATTTTGTATTTTTTAAAATACTATAAAAATAATAGAAATTAATTTTATTATTTATATTATTATATTTTATAATTAAATAAATGAGTTTACTATAATAAAATATTCAATCAATCATAAATGTCAATCTTTTTATGCTTTTTAATTAATAAAAAACCTATAAATGATATAAAAGTATCAAATAATATAATTAATTTTTTGCATATAAACTGTATTTTTGTGTAAATTTTTACTATCAAACGTAATCACCTTACAATAATATAAAACTTATAAAATTTGGTTATCTTAGCTTGATAAAATAATAAACGTAATATTTAATCATAATATTTGAGATTAGCATAAGTAGTTATTTAATCTTTCTAAAAAATTTATATTAATTAATCTAATATAGTCATTCAAAGTATTTTTTATGAAAAAATATTTATTTAACAAAAATGGCTGTTAATTATATATAACAAGGGAAAATTTAAAAAGTTTCTTGTTAAAAAATTTTTTTTAAACAAAAGTGATTATTTTTAATTCTTTATTACTTTATTTTCTAGCAAAAATAACATAAAAAAATATTTTAATATGATTTAATTTTTAAAAGAGTCATTTTATGAAAAAATAAATAAATGCATAATTAGAAAAAAGAAGGTTAATCTAAATAATTATTTTCGACTGAATGTTTTTATATTAAGAACTCTTAATTTTTAAATTAATAGTTAAAATATCTATTTTAAAAATAAATGAATCAATCTTTATTTAGAATATGAATTTGTTTATTATTTGATTGTAAAATGTTTGTTTATTAATTTTCAATTAATTTATTTATAAATACAATAAATTATCATTTATTTGTTTGTTTTTGATTGTAAAATGTTTGTTTATAGATTTTCAATTAATTTATTTATAAATACAATAAATTATCATTTATTTGTTTGTTTTTTGTGAATAAATCAAATTAATTTTTGAACTAATACTGACTATGCCCCTTTGAAAAATAAATGAATAGTTTTATTAATAATTAATTAATTAGTTAATTTATACATTCATTTCTCAATGGCAGCATTTAGATAAATAGATAGAAATATTATTGAAAATCTATTTGTCGTTTGATTTTAAATATATTTTCAAAATGAAAACAGAAAAATTAAAAAATTAAAATTTGTTTGTTTGTTTGTTTATTTATTTTGTTTAGAAGAACAATAAATTAATTGATTAAATTTTTGATATAATTAGATAGATTCACATATAAATCTTTAAAGCAAAGCAAAGCATCGAAACAGAAAAATTTTAAATTCGATTATTAGATTTAGCAAATAAAAGGTCGAAACACAAATAATAAGTTATCTAACTAGCATTTGATACCAATAATAATTATAGATAGATAGTCATGCAACACAATTAGCAGCCAAACATTTTTGAATAACCTAACTACTTTTATTAAGATAAGATTTTCGTAAAGCTTCCTAATTTGGAAGTTTTAAGAGCAGAATTGAGATATGCTAGTTAATATCTCTCAGCACACAAGCTCTATCACAGTGCCAAATGGTAATAAACAGAATTATCTTCACTTTTTGGAATACTTTATTATTGACTATCAATTTAGCAATTTTTTTGATTGTTTTTTTCAATTATTTAATGAATAGGGCAAGCGAACTCTTATTAGGAGTTACAAAGCAATCAGAAATATAAGATAGCGTTTTGCTAAATAATTTCATCATAAGCAATATTGATAGCAATTACAAGTTTGCTAAAGTTTATTAAGAGCCCAGCGATGAAACTTTCGAAGCCCTTTTGGTTGCTAGAAACTTATTTGACTTGAGAGAATTTAAAAAATGTGCACATATATTGAAAGACTATGCATAAAATCCAAAATACTAATAATGTATTTTCTTATATTACTATGCTCTTTATATGGCAGGAGAAATTAGAAAGGAGGAGGAGATGTTTGAAGAAGGTAAAATTTCTATTTTAATTAAAATTGCAAATAGCAAAAATGATTATTTAGACATTTAAAAATAAAAGAGATAAGAATTCTTTAAATATTGTAAAGTATATGCAAAAAATATGAAAATATATTAGAGAGAATGTTTAGGATCGAAATTTTTTTAATTATTTTTTTATCTATGAATCAGAATAAAGTTCTAAGAGGGTTGTCAATCCAGAATTAAGTTTAATTTATCGCGACTTGGATTAAATGTACAAAAAGGGTGATCTTTGTGATGTAAATAGGTATTTATATGGATTGGTCCTCAAAGATTAGGAAAGAACTGAAGAAGCCCGTTAGGTATTTTTAGGAGTTTTAAATGATTTTCCTTGCTTTTGGTCAGCATGGATAGAGCTCTGCAAATTAATTCAAACAGAAGATATAAAGTTTTTGGATTTCAAAGAGCATTGGATGAAGAATTTCTTCTACAGTAGTTTCTGCTTGGAAAAGCACAAAAGCAATATTTGCATTGAAATCAATTATGGATTGCTGTGCTTTTTTAAAAATTCAAATTATTTAATAAACTAAATAGCCCACTACTTTTACAACTCATAAGGTAAACAAATAACTATCTGAAAATATTCTAATTTATATTTTGTTAAATAATTTAGATTTCGATATTTCGCTAGAGTGGTTTGAAAAGCTTGTAGAAATAGACCCTTTTAGATACGAAAATATGGATACCTACAGTAATATTCTCTATATTAAAGAAAACTAAGGTGAATTAGCCAATCTAGCCTTAAGATGTTTCTACAATAATAAGTATGCAACAGAAACATGTTGTGTAGTAGGTAAACTATCATAAATAGATATTTTTGTTAAACGAAATTAATTCATATTTAATAAAACAATTTATTTCAATTTATTCTAAAAGCGAACCAAGTATACAATCAAACTAAAATAGTGAATTTTCAATTAATTAATAATTTAACTTTAATTATAAATAAAAATGGTAAAAAAAGAAATAAAAAACAAAGATTTTTACTAACAAAATAAAGGATATTTATTATAAAGCTAATACTGAATAGCAAAAATCAAGAAATATTCTGATTGATATTTAATTCATTCAGATATTTATGATAAAACTAAAAATTAGTCATGAGATTTAATAATTTTTTTTGATAAAAAAAAGAAATTGCAAATTATTTATTTAATCAATTTCTTGATTTTTCAAACATAAAAGATCAAATTTTTTATCAATTTATTGATTTTTCAAACATAAAAAGATCAAATTTTTAATCAAAAATAATTAATCAAATTATTAATAAAAAAAAAATAAATCAAATTATTAATAAATATTCATTAATTTTAACTTTAATTTGAAAATACTTATTTTATTTATGAAATTAATTAATTTTTATTTAAAACACACAAAACATTTTATTGAATTTGTAAAAATAATAATTTTACTTAATACCTAATAAAGGTAATTATTACTCTCTGATGGGTGAGCACTTAAAGGCAGTTAATTATTTCAGAAAAGCACTTAGATTAGATAGAAATTGTCTAGCTGCTTGGACACTTATGGGACATGAATATTTAGAAATGAAGAATATTCCTGGTGCTATTGAAGCTTACAGAAACGCTGTAGAAATAGATCCAAAAGATTTTAGAGCTTGGTATGGATTAGGATAGACTTATGAACTTCAATCTATGAATCATTACGCTTTGTATTATTTCACTAGAGCAGTTATGTCAAGGTGATTAGTTAGATCAAGATTAAATCTAAATAGTTTTCTAATAATATTTATTTTCTTTTTAAAAATAGACCAAAAGATTCTCGTATGTGGAATGCTATGGGTAATTGTTATGAAAAATTGAATAAGAAAAACGAAGCAACTCGTTGTTATGAAAGAGCTGAGAATGGCAAAGATAAAGAAGGTATTTTAATTAATTATTTATTTTTTTTACCTTTATTGTAATAAAAATATTTTTTAATTATTGGATTTTTAAAGGGATCGCTCTTTTCTAGATGGGTAAATTATATGATTTAATGGGATTCGAAGAAAGAGCTATCCAGTGCTTTGAAGAGAATTTAAAAAGAAAGGATGAAGAAGAAACAGTTGACAAAGAACTAGGAGAATGTCTTCTAATGTTGGCTAATCATCATAAGAAGAAATTAAATTTTGAAAAAGCCCACTTCTATGCTAGAAGGTTGCTTGATATAAATGGCGCAGAAAGGTAAAATGAATGAAATTTTTATATTTTAATGTTCAAATTGTATGTTTTTAATGAATGAGCAAAGAAAATAGATAGTGTTTAAATAATTAAAAATCCAAACAAATTTGGGTTTAAAAAATAGTTTTCAGAATGCTAAAAAAAACAGGATAGAATTAATTTTTATTTGAAATAAAATAGGGATGAAGCGAATTAGATAATACATGAAATAAATTAAATGATGAACTAGTAATAGGTTTATTAGCAAAAGCAGACACAATAAATTTAATAATAATAAATATATCAGTAAGCAGGAGGTTTTCTTCCTAAGTATGGTTAATAAGCAAGTGGATTGAAAGGATTTTCTGTTTCATCTACTGTATAGCAACCAATACCTGGCTAACCTTAGATCCCTAATTTAATTCTTTAGCAATAGCATTTGACTCCTCAGCAATAGTAATAATAATAGCTACTATAATAGTCATCTTCTGCATCATCAGCTAATTCTTCTCAATAGCAAAACAAATACATTCCAAATATAACTGGATTTAATTTATCAGAGTTTTGATGTTTAAATAAAATATATTAACAAACGCAAATAATTTATTTATCTAATAAATCCACCTTAATTAGAGCAAATTGTTGATTTTAAATATATATATATATAAATTAATAAATGCATACATAATTACTGTCAATCTATTTATAGTTTAAGTAAGTGAGTAAAATTTCATATGAAAGCAAGTCTAAATAAAATAAATTGCAAATCAATCAATCAATTAATAAATCAACAAACAAATTAATAAGTGGTAAATTATTCCTATTTAAATTATGAATCAATGAATTATGTAAAAGGTTAAGCTAAAACAAAGAAATTATTTGATATTTAATGTATTTATTCTAAATTAATTATAATTTTTGTTGTTAAAATAAATATTATAAATATTTATATATCAATCAATTCCCTTTATCTAATCTTCTATCTGTCTTACTTACCATTCTAGATTTTAGATATATCTTCCTTATTATACATATATGTCAGTCAATCAATTAATCAAAAGCTCAAAAGTTAAGCTCTTTCAATATATTTTTTGCTATTTAGCCAATAATTCGCAGAGGAAATCAAATATTAAAGAATGATTTGACCACATATATAATATTGCATTTAATTAAAGAAATTTTATTTTATTTAATTTTATTTTTTTTAAATTTTAAATATTTTCTATTTTATTTTAATGGTTATTCATTTTTAACTAAAAATTAAAATATTTAAAAATTTAATAAAAATTAAAAATATTTAATAATATTTTAAATGAAAAAGGAGTATTTTGCTTATTAATAAATAATTTGATTTTAATTTTTAAATGTATTATTTTTACTTTATTTTTTTATTTATCTTCAATTTTTGTTTAATACTTATAGAAAATAAAATATTTTATAATAACTTGATGAATTTTATTTATTTACAATAGAATAATGCACTAAAAAGATATTTGAAAAAATGTGTTGCAAATAGCTTGAAATTTTAAGTTAGTGCATTCATAGATAAATAAATAAATTAATGAGATGAGCTTGAATAAATAAATAAGTATATAGACATGGATATGATATGATATGAAATAAATTAAATTAATTCTTTGTTGCATAAAAACTAAGAAAATGATTAACTAATTATCTAAGTAGCTAACTAACTAAAAAACAAACAGAAATGATTGAATAGATAGATTAATTGAATACACAATCATGAGCTTGCTTGCTTGCTTGTAGGAGATAGATTAGCTATTTATAAGATTAGATATAAATGGATATTTTAGTTATTTGGATTAAATGAATGAAATTAGTAATGAAATGAAAAGAATGAAGAAATAAATATGAATGAATGAATAAAAGGCGAAAGATAATATAATATGGAGAGATGAAAAATGAATTAAAATGAAAGAGAAAGAAAGACTATTTGTCTTGTCAAAATTAAGAGCAAATAATTGAAGAGGGCAATTTTAAAGCTTGGGAGAGTGAAAAAAAGCGAAAATTAAAGGAAAAAATACAAAATTTAATTAAATAAAAAGGGAATAAATTACATAAGAAAAAATCATCATATAAATAAAAAATGGTAACTCATTTTTTCTGAAATTTACTATTATATATTTAATCTAATTCCAAAATGAATACTAATCATTTTATTTTATCACTCATCAACAGGGTTTCGTTAAAGTTCTCAAGACTAAGGCTTACTTCAAGAGATTCTAAACCAAGTACAGAAGAAGAAGAGGTAAACAGCTATATTATTTCTTTGTATCATCTCGTCTTTTCTATTCTCGCTATTTAATCGTCTCAAACAGCATCCTTCATCATACAATCACTCATATCTGGTGCAAATCTCCTCAATATTTAATAATGAGAGCATATCCTACGAATAAATCGTTGATTCGTTCATAGCAAGCTTCATAAAACATGCAAATACATATTATTTATTGCGATTGGTTTGGCATTAACAAAAATAATTTAGCAAGATATTTATTTATTTTAGGACTATAAGCATAATGTTATTTCAATGGTTTTTTGCTAACTACTCAGCTTGATGAATATAATTTGTATTCAAAAGTCAAACATTTGCAATATTTCCAGCATCTTAGCTTGCTATCAAAGCTTTCAAACCTAAAATTAGCCTATAAACAAACAATCCAAAATATAAAGTTTTAGACATAAAGCAAAATAGTATGAACAGAAAAAGTTAATTCAGCTTCGGTTTTGTAATAGCGTTCTCTTTAGCATATTGTTAGCTGCTTCAAGCATACTAATTTAATAAAATTCAATTAGACGCTTTTCCAATATCAGCAAGGCAACTTATATGAAAATAGATACCTTGATAAGGTTAAACATAATTGCAACTAGGTTTAGATAGGAACAAACAAACTCAAATGATTATCTTGCTTCTAAAACCAACAAAATAATCAACATGCATAGAAATAGGCAGAAGCAGTTCAAAGCTCCTAAATTTGCTTCATTATCAAGATAAATCCAAACAACAAAAGAGAGTTAGCTAATTGACAGATAGATAAATAAATAAACATCATAATATCCTTTATAGATATTTTTGCAAAGCATTCAAATAAAACAAAATTATTGTATAAAACTATTAAGCAATTGAGTGAGTGAGTGATTGATTGATTGATTGAGTGAGTGATTATAATATTGATGAAATATTTTCTTTGGTTGAAGAAAATGATATTGAATTAAATAAATGGGAGAAGAAAAGACAAATAAATAGATGAAAGAATGAATAAATTTAAATATAAAAAAAAAAAAAAGATTTTAAATATTAAATATTTTAATTTAAATAGAGGGTCTCACTGATTACTACGCCAGAAAGAGATTGATCATCCAAGATAAGGATAAATACAACACCCCCAAGTACAGATTAGTTGCTAGAGCCACCAACACCAGAATCATCGCCTAGATCGTCTACGCTACCCTCAAGTGCGACAGAGTCCTCTGTGCTGCTGACTCCTACGAACTCAAGAGATTCGGAGTCTCCACTGGTTTGGCTTCCTACGCTGCTGCCTACGCCACTGGTCTCTTATTAGCCAGAAGATTGCTCAAGCAAATCGGTTTAGACACCGTTTATGCTGGTCAAACTAAGGTTGATGGTGCCTACTTCAATGTCGATGAAGACCAAAAGGAAAAGAAGCCCTTCAAGGCTATTTTGGATGCTGGTTTGGTCAGAACCACCACCGGTAACAGAGTCTTCGGTGTCTTAAAGGGTGCTTGCGATGGTGGTATTAACATCCCCCACTCTGAAAGCAGATTCCCCGGTTACGTCAGAGCTTCTGATGAAGGTGAATCCTCCAAGTACAAGCCTGAAGACCACAAGGCTAGAATCTTCGGTAAACACATCGATGCTTACATGAAACACTTAAAGGGACAATCCAACGAAGCTTTCTAAAAGCAATTCTCCAAGTGGAGCAAGACCCTCGAAGCTGCTAAGGTTGACTCCGTTGAAAAGCTCTTCACCAAGGTCCACGCTGAAATCAGAAAGAACCCCGAAAGAGTTAAATCTACCAAGAAGAACGATAAGCCCAAGAGAGACCACAAGAAGTTCTACCCTACCAAGCTTACCGCTGCCCAAAGAAAAGACAGAGTTAAAACTAAGTTCCAACTTGCTCTCTCTTAATGATTAACTTACTCTTTAAATTGATATAAATATAAAATATACACACTATACATATATTTAATTCTAACTTATTTGCGTGTAAAAATTCATCTATGTTAAGACTTCTTACACTATAAGTCATATTTAAACATGCAAAAATCAATCAATTAAATCTGTTTGTATGTATATTTGCTCATCCTCCTTTCATCTTATTTTATTCAATTTTCTCACATTCACTCACTCACTCACTCAATCAATCAATCCATTCATTTTTCCTCTCTCCTTATTTATTTATCTACTTTATTTAAAGCATACATATAATGATGAATTTTGAGGACAGTGATACAAATTTTTTAAAAATCACATGATTAGATAGATATATTCCTTATAAAAACCACATTTATATCAAAATTAAAAAAAATTTGGAAAATATAAAAATCATTACAAAAAAATATACTTTTTATTATGATAATAAATCAAATTGATTTATCAAAATTACTTATAGAAATATTGAGTAAAATTTAACATATTATCGTTTGTCATATCCAACATGCTAAAATAATATGAAAAAATGACATCAAATATTTTTATTAAACATTTTTTAAATGAGTTAATTTTTTATTATTATATAATTAATCAACTGATTAATAATCGAATTAATAACATTAGAATTTAAGTAAAAAATAAATTGAAATAATCATTAAAATAAATGAATAAATAATTATTAAATTTAAACATTTAAGTTTAATATAGCTTAACACCTAATTAAAATCTAGCGGTTATGTATGGCAGTGATGACAAACGAGCCGAAAATTTTTTGTAAAAGTAATAAATAATTTTATTAAATTTTTGCCATTCAAAAATGTAAGATTTTAGAGAATATTAAAAATAAATGAATTTAATTACAAAAATAATTTAAATATGTCAAAAATATATTTTATTCTAGTGAGTAGCATTTTCATTTATTATCTCTTTATGTACAATCTCTAGTTCCTAATATATTTTTAAGAAAACATTTTAAATAGAAATGCTAAGATTTATTTAATAAAGAATATTATACTACTTACTTTTATGTGATTCTCTTACTCAAAGCAAATTTATAAATTCATATAATTTATTTGTTCATTTTATACACTAATAATTAAATTTAGATAAATTGTTATTCAATATTTTTGAAAAAAAAAATAAATGATATAATAAATTTAATATTATACAAAATTAGAAGAAGTAATTATTTATTTTTTTATCAAAATAATTTAAATTTATTTTTACTAAAATAAAAAGTTTTTAAATTCTTCACTTTAATCTCATTAGGTTCTCCATATTAATCTGAGGTATATTTTATTTATAAATATTACTATTTATTAACATTTTCTAATAATTTAACTTTCAGTTTATATAAATTATTATTTTTCTAATTGAAATTATCTCTAATATTCATCCATTTTATTTCTTCAAATATTTTTCTAGTTATTTTAACTTAATTTTCAATTTAAATTTTTTAAATTCATTATCAATTTTTTATTATTTGATATTTTTTATTCGTTTTTTTATGCTAAAACTTTTACTTGATAAAAACAGTTTAAATGTTTTTGGTTGTGATATTTTTAGTTATAAAAATGAATTTAAAACAATATAACTAACTAACTAACTCTTCTAATTTGTTTATTAGCTTTTTGTTGTATTTATTTTTCTTTTTTATTGCATTTGTATATATTCTTATCTATCTTTCTTAATTTATTAACTCATTTTTTTATTTTCATTCATTTTCTTTTATTATTTATTTATTAATTTCTTATTATTTCATATTTTTTCTAAATAACTAATTAATTGGTCAACTAGAAAAAAATGGTAATGGTCATATAAACCTTAAATTCTCACTCAGCCAGTCATATGTTATTAAAAAACCTCTTTGGTAAATGTATCCTAAAAAACTAAAAGAATTAGTTGATATCAAATATCTATATTATCCATCTATTCCAAAATCCTGAAATAAATCTGAAATGGTCATATCAATTTTTTCTTGAAATTACTGTAAATGCTCTTTAATTAAGGTATACTTTAATTAAGGCATTTTTTTCTTAAATAAAAGACATAATTTTAGGATAAATTGACCATATAGGTTTTTAATAACATATGATTGAGTGAGAATTTAAGGTTTATATGACCATATCGTTCTTGTTGACCAATTAATTATATATTTTTTCTTCAATATTTAAAAAGAAACAATGAAATTGGTGCATCAGGTGCATCAGACTTAGGCTCTGCTTTAGCTGATTGCACTAATCTCTCAAATTTGACACTTTTTCTTGAGTAAAATAATTTATTTGTTTTGGATTGTGATATTTTTTGTTATTAAAATAATTTAAGGCAATATAGCTCTTTTAAAAAGTTTATTAGCTTTTTATTTGATTTATTTTTCATTTTCTTTTTTATTGTGTTTGTGTTTTTTTTTTTCTTCTCTCTTTCTTAATTTAACTCATTTATTTTTAACATTTTCTTTATTTATTAATTCATTTCTTATTATTTCATATTTTTTCTTCATTTTTTTATTTCGAAATAACTAATACATTTTTTATTTTTCTTCAATATTTAAAAAGTGGAAATTAAATTGGTGCAACAGGTGCATCAACTTTAGGTTCTGCTTTAGAAAATTGCACTAATCTCTCAAATTTGACACTTGATCTTAAGTAAAAAACAGTTTATTTGTTTTGGGTTGTGATATTTTTCGTTATAAAAATGAATATAAAACAAAATAACTCTTTTAATATATTTATTAGCTTTTTATTTGATTTCTTTTTCTTTTTTATTGAATTGGGTTATTTTTCTTCTATCTATCTATCTTTCTTAATTTAACTCATTTTTTATTTTAAACATTTGCTTCTGTTTTTTAAAAATTAATTTCTTATTATTTCATATTTTTTCTTGACTTTTTTATTTCGAAATAACTAATTAATTATATATTTTTTCTTCAATATTTAAAAAGATCCAATGAAATTGGTGATTAAGGTACATCAGACTTAGGCTATGCTTTAGCTAATTGCACTAATCTCTCACATTTGGCACTTTATCTTTAGTAAAAATAGTTTATTTGTTTATGATTGTGATATTTTTCGTTATAAAATGAATTTAAAACAATATAACTAACTAACTCTTTTAATTTGCTTATTTGCTTTTTATTTGATTTATTTTTCTTTTTTTTTATTGTACTTGTGTTTTTTTTCTTTTATCTTTGTAACTCATTTTTTTATTTTCAACATTTACTTTTATTATTCATTCATTAATTCATTTCTTACTATTTCATACTTTTTCTTCGTTTTTTTATTTCTAAATAACTATTAAATTGCATATATTTTCTTCAATATTTAAAAAGTGGAAATTAAATTGGTGCAACAGGTGCATCAGCTTTAGGTTCTGCTTTAGCAAATTGCACTAATCTCTCAAATTTGATACTTGATCTTAAGTAAAAAACAGTTTATTTGTTTTGGGTTGTGATATTTTTCGTTATAAAAATGAATGTAAAACAATATAACTAACTCTTTTAATTTGTTTATTAGTTTTTTATTTGTTTTCTTTTTCTTTTTTATTGTAGTTGTGTTTTTTCTTCTTCTATCTATCTTTCTTAATTTAACTCATTATTTATAATATTTACTTTTATTATTTAAAAATTAATTTCTTATTATTTCATTTTTTTCTTCATTTTTTTATTTAGAAATAACTAATTAATTATATTTTTTTCTTTAATATTTAAAAAGTTTCAACTAAATTGGTGATAGAAGAGAATAGAAAAACTCGCACATATAAATGCACTCAGAATACATCTTAAAATTTATTTTTATTATATTTATATAAATAATTTTTATTTATTTTTAGGTATTTTCATAATTATTAATTTTTAATAATTCAATCAATATCTGATTTTTGAATATTTAATATACACCCTGTTTCCTCTTTTTATCATTAATTCCAGAACAATTTGGTAATTTAATAACCTTTTTCTATACATTTATTAATTAATTACTAGAATTTTTTTAAATATGACTAACTGCTCATCTCTAATTTGTAGAATATATATTTTTTTAAGTATATGTTTTAAATATAAATATTAAGATTAAATAATTAATGTTAAATTAATTTTTATGTGATATCTATCTCTTCATAAAACCAAATTTATAAATTAATATTTGATAATTAATTAATTATTATATTTTATTTGTTCTTTTTATCCATTTATTATTAATTAATTAATTAAATTCCATAAATTGCTTGCTATTCAATATTTTTGAAAAAAAAATAAATGATATAATAGATTAAAAAATATAATAAATTAGAAGAAGTAATTATTAATTTTTTTATTAATATCCTTTAAATTTATATGAATAAACAAAAAAAGTTTTTAAGCTCTTCACTTTTATCTCATGAGGTTCTCCATATTGAAATCAAGTATATTTTATTTTCAAATATTATTTTTATTATTAATAATTTATTTTTATATATTTAACTAACTTTCACTTTATTTAAACAATTAATTTTTGTTATAGAAATTATCATCATTATTCATTCATTAATTGATTTTTATTATAACAAAAATTTTATAGCTATTTTAACTTAATTTTCAATTCAATTTTTAATTATTTATTTATTTATTATTCATTTTTTATCATTTGATATTTTTTCTTCATTTTTTGCTATTAAAACTTACACTTAATAAAAGCAGTAAGTTTATTAGTTTTGGATTGTAATATTTTTAATTATAAAAATTATATTTAAAACATAAAAGCTCTTTTAATTTATTTATTTGATTTATTTTCCTTTTTCTTTTTATTGTGATTTCTTTTTTTTTCATTTTTTGTTAATTCTATTAATTATAAATTTATCTCATTATTCCATATTTTTTCTTCATTTTTTCCTTCTAGTTAACTAGAGTGAAAAGCCTATTTAATTTACAAAATGCGAAATGTAATATATCTTAATAACATTATTAATAAAACTATAATAAATTAGCTTAAAACAGCTTTATTTATTTTTGAATTTTTAGATAGTTTTAAATTCACAAAATGTAAAATTTGAAATAATATATACATACCATACCGTATATTCTTATAACATATCATTTTTTTTTAAAAATAAATTTTGAAAAATTTTACATACTTTTTTTTAAATTAGTGATAAATGTACATCAGGCTTAGGTTCTGCTTTAGCAAATTGCATTAATCTCTCAAATTTGACACTTAATCTTCGGTAAAAACAGTTTATTTGTTTTGGATTGTGATATTTTTAATTATTAAAGCTCTTTTATCTTTTTATTTATTTTGTGCTTGCAATTTTTTGTTCTTTCTTTGTTAATTTAACTCATAATTTTATTTCCAAATTTTGTTTTTATTATTAATTAATTAATCTTATTATTTCATATTTTTCTTCATTTATTCCATCTAATTAACTATTTAATGATATATTTTTTCTTCAATACTTAAAAAGTTACAATCAAATTGGCGATAAAGGTGCATCAGGCTTAGGTTCTGCTTTAGCAAATTGCATTAATCTCTCAAATTTAACACTTGATCTTTGGTAAAAACAGTTTATTTGTTCTGGATTGTGATATTTTGAATTATAAAAACTAATTAAAAATAATAAAGCTCTTTTTTCTTTTTCTTTTTATTGTGCTTGCAATTTTTTATTCTTTCTTTGTTAATTTAACTCATCATTTTATTTTCAACTTTCACTTTTATTATTATTTAATTAATCTTATTATTTCATATTTTTTCTTCATTTTTTCCTTCTAACTCACTATTTAATGATATATTTTTTCTTCAATATTTAAAAAGTTCTAATAAAATTGGTTCAATAGGTGCATTAGACTTAGGTTCTGCTTTAGCAAAATGCATTAATCTCTCAAATTTAACACTTGATCTTCGGTAAAAACAGTTTATTTGTTCTGGATTGTGATATTTTGAATTATAAAAACTAACTAAAAACAATAAAGCTCTTTTTTCTTTTTCTTTTTATTGTGCTTGCTATTTTTTGTTCTTTCTTTGTTAATTAAGCTCATCATTTATTTTAAACTTTTGCTTTTATTATTAATTAATTAATCTTATTATTTCACTTAAAAAGTTACAATCTAATTGGTAAACTTGGTGCGTCAGACTTAGGTTCTGGTTTAGCAAATTGCATTAATCTCTCAAATTTGACACTTCTGCTTTCGTAATAACAATTTATTTATTTTGGATTACGATATTTTTAATTATAAAAACTAATTATAAAAATAAAAATCTTTTTCTTTTTCTTTTGATCTTGCAATTTTTTGTTCTTTCTTTGTTTATTTAACTCATCATTTTATTTTTAACTTTTGCTTTTATTATTAATTATTTAACCTTATTATTTCCTATTTTTCTACATTTTTTACTTCTAATTAACTATTTAATGATAAATTATTTTTCAAAACTTAAAAAGTTATAATCAAATTGGTTAACTTGGTGTGTCAAACTTATGTTCTGCTTTAGCAAATTGCATTAATCTATCAAAATTGACTCTTGATCTTTGGTAAAAACAGTTTATTTGTTTTGGATTATGATATTTTTAATTATAAAAACTAATTAAAAACTATAAAGCTCTTTTTTCTTTTTATTTTTATTGTGATTGCTTTTTTTTTGTTTTTTCTTTGTTAATTTAACTCAACATTTTATTTTCAACTTTTGTTTTTAATATTAATTAATTAATCTTATTATTTCATATTTTTTCTTCATTTTTTCCTTCTAATTAACTATTTAATTATTTATTTTTTCTTCAATATTTAAAAAGTGAAAATTAAATTGGTCCAAAGTGTGCATCAGGCTTAGGTCCTACTTTAGCAAATTGCATCAATCTCTCAAATTTGACACTTGATCTTAGGTAAAAACAGTTTGTTTGTTTGTTTTGGATTGTGATGATTTTAATTATAAAAACTAATAAAAAACAATAAAGCTCTTTTTTCTTTTTATTAATTTGTGTTTGTTTTTTATTTGTTCTTTCTTTGTTAATTTAGCTCATCATTTTATTTTCAACATTTAATTTTATTATTAATTAATCTTATTATTTTATATTTTATCTTCATTTTTTCCTTCTAATTAACTATTTAATTATTTATTTTTTCTTCGATATTTAAAAAGATAAAATGGAATTGGCGATGAAGGTGCATCAGGCTTAGGTTTTGGTTTATCAAATTGGATTAATCTCTCAAATTTGATACTTAACCTTGAGTAAAAACAATTTATTTGTTTTGGATTTTGATAATTTTAATTTTAAAAACTAATTAAATACAATAAAGATCTTTGTTCTTTTTCATTGTGCTTGCTTTTTTTTGTTTTTTCTTTGTTAATTTAGCTCGTCATTTTACTTTTAACTTTTGCTTTTATTACTAATTTATTAATCAATCTTATTATTTCATATTTTTTCTTCAATATTTAAATAGTAATAATGAAATTGGAGCAATAGGTGCATCAGGCTTAGGTTCTGCTTTAACAAAATGCATTAATCTATCAAATTTGACAATTGATCTTTGGTAAAAATAGTTTATTTGTTTTGGATTGTGATGATTTTAATTTTTAAAATTAATTTAAAACAATAAAGCTCTTTTTTCTTTTTTTTTTCATTGTGCTTACTTTTTTTTGTTCTTTCTTTGTTAATTTAGCTCATCATTTTACTTTCAAGTTTTACTTTTATTATCTTATTATTTCATATTTTTTCTTCATTTTTTCCTTCTAATTAACTATTTAATTACTTATTTTTTCTTCAATATTTAAAAAGGTCCAATAAAATTGGTCCAATGGGTGCATCAGGCCTAGGTTCTGCTTTAGCAAATTGCTTTAATCTTTCAAATTTAACACTTAACCTTAAGTAAAAACAATTTATTTGTTTTGGATTATGATATTTTTAATTATAAAACTAATTAAAAACAATAAAACTCTTTTTTCTTTTTATTAATACTATGATTGCTTTTTATTTGTTATTTCTTTGTAAATTTAGCTCATGATTTTAATTTCAACTTTATTTTTTATTATTAATTAATCTTATTGTTTCATATTTTTTATTCATTTTTTCCTTCTTATTAAATATTTAATCTTCAATATTTAAAAAAGTTTCAATAAAATTGGCAATGAAGGTACATCAGGCTTAGGTTCTGCTATAGCAAATTGTATTAATCTCTCAAATTTGACACTTTTGCTTTCGTAATAACAATTTATTTGTTTTGGATTGTGATATTTTTATTTATAAAAATTAATTAAAAACAATAAAGATCTTTTTTCTTTATCATTTCATTGTGCTTGCAATTTTATGTTCTTTCGTTGTTAATTTAACTCATTATTTAATTTTCAACTTTTGCTTTATTATTAATTAATCTTATTTTTTTCATATTTTTTCTTAATTTTTTCCTTCTAACTAGCTATTTAATTAAAAATTTTTTTTCAATATTTAAAAAGTAAAAATTAAATTGAACCAATGAGTGCATCAGGCTTAGGTTCTGCTTTAACAAATTGCATTAATCTCTCAAATTTGACACTTGATCTTAGGTAAAAATAGTTTATTTGTTTTGGATTGTGATGATTTTAATTATAAAAATTAATTAAAAACAATAAAGCTCTTTTTTCTTTTTCTTTTGATTGTGCTTGCAATTTTTTGTTCTTTCTTTGTTAATTTAACTCATAATTTTATTTTCAACTTTTTTTTTTATTATTAATTAATTAATCTTATTATTTCATATTTTTCTTCATTTTTTCCTTCTAATTAACTATTTAATTAATATTTTTTCTTCAATATGTAAAAAGTGGAAATTAAATTGGTAAGAAAGGTGCATCAGGCTTAGGTTCTGCTTTAGCAAATTGTATTAAACTCTCAAATTTAACACTTAGCCTTAAGTAAAAATAATTTATTTGTTTTGGATTATGATATTTTTAATTATAAAAACTATTTAAAAACAATAAAGCTCTTTTTTCATTTTATTGTTATTGTTATTGCTTTTTTTTTGTTCTTTCTTTTTTAATTTAGCTCATCATTTTATTTTCAACTTTTGCTTTTATTATTAATTAATTAATCTTATTATTTCATATTTATTCTTTATTTTTTCCTTCTAATTAACTATTTAATTATTTATTTTTTCTTAAATATTAAAAAAGTTCCAATAAAATTGGTCCAATGGGTGCATCAGGCTTAGGTTCTGCTTTAGCAAATTGCTTTAATCTCTCAAATCTAACACTTAGCCTTAAGTAAAAACAATTTATATGTTTTGGATTATGATATTTTTAATTATAAAAACTAATAAAAAACAATAAAGCTCTTTTTCTTTTTATTTTTATTATGATTGCTTTTATTTTTTTCTTTCTTTGTTGATTTAGCTCATCATTTTATTTTCAACTTTCACTTTTATTATTAATTAATTAATCCTATTATTACATATTTTTTATTTATTTTTTCCTTGTAATTAACTATTTAATGATATATTTTTTCTTCAATATTTAAAAAGTGAAAATTAAATTGGTGCAATTGGTGTATCAGGCTTAGGTTCTGCTTTAGCAAAGTGCATTAATCTCTCAAATTTGACGCTTAACCTTTAGTAAAAAAAGATTATATATTTTGGATTGTGATATTTTTATTTGTAAAAACTAACTTAAAACAATAAAGCTATTATTTCTTTTTCTTTTTATTGTGCTTGCTTGATTTTTTTTAATCTTTCTTTGTTAATTTAACTCACTCATAATTTTATTTTGAACTTTTGCTTTTATTATTGATTAAATAATCTTATTATTTCATATTTTTTCTTCATTTTTTTTTTTAATTTACTATTTAAAAATATTTTTTCTTCAATATTTAAATAGAAAGAATTAAATTGGTAATGAAGGTGCATTAGGCTTAAATTCTGCTTTACGAAAGTGCATTAATCTCTAAAATTTAATACTTGATCTTAGGTAAAACAGTTTATTTATTTTTGGATTGTGATATTTTTAGTTATAAAAACTAATTTAAAATAATAAATTTGAATTTATTTGATTTATTTTTTTTATCTTATTAACACCACTAAAGTTATTTTATTTATTAATTTAAGAAATAATTTTTAATTTAAAAGTTTATTTTATTTAATATTTATTTAAAATTTACATAAATTTATAATAAAAGTCGTAACTAAATTCTTGGAAAAAAAAAGTTCAAAGTAAAAAGCATGTGTCTTAAATCAAAAAGATTAGTTATCTTTTTTTTATAATTCCATTGATAAACAAGTGATGAAAAAAAGATTAATAAATATTAAATATTTGATAACTGAATATTATTTTTTTTATTACATAACATTTTGAACATGTTTTTTTTAACCAAAAATATTGATAAATAGATAGATTATATTATTGTTTTTATTTATTCATATTTTTTATTGTAAGTTAATAAATAGTTTATAATAAATTAAAAAGTTAAAAAATTAAATTTATTTAAATAAATTAATCCATCCATCTTAAGATCCTCTTAACTCTCTCTTAAAAAAGTTTTAGTTGTCTTTCAAACTCTCTTTAATAATAAGTTGGTTAAATTATTGCTTCATTGACAATATTAACATATTAATTTTTTGAGTGGGGTAAGGTTAAATTAGGAAGGGGTGCTCTTTAATTAATTAAGTTAAGAAATAATTAATTAGAGAGGGTTATTTTATTCTAGCGAGTTGCATTTTCATTGATTATCCTTTTTATCCTATCTCTATTTCCTACTATATTCTTAAGTACACATTTTAAATAAAAATATTAATATTATTTAATAATGAATGCTACACTAACTTACTTTTATGTGATACTCAAAAAAACAAATTTATAAATTAATTTAATTTATTTGATCATTTGGTACACCTATAATTAATTATATATTTCCATAAATTATTACTCAATATTTTTGAAAAAAAATAAATGATATAATAGATTAAAGAATATTAAAAATTAGAAGAAGTAATTATTTATTTTTTATCAAAATAGTTTAAATTTATATTTACTAACATAAAAAGTTTTTAAATTCTTCACTTTAATCTCATTAGGTTCTCTATATTAATCTGAGGTATATTTAATTATTACAGTTTATTAATATTTTCTTCAGTTTATATAGAATTTGATTTTTCTAATAGAAATTATCACTTATATCCATTCATTCATTATAGGTCTTTAAATATTTTTTAGTTATTTTAACTTAATTTTTAATTTAAATTTTTTAAATTCATTATTAATTTTTATTATTTGATATTCTTATTCATTTTTTTTATTTAATAACTTTAACTTGATAAAAACAGTTAATTTTTTTTTTGATATTGATATTTTTAGTTATAAAAATGAATTTAAAAAATGTTACTATTCTAATTTGTTTATCAGCTTTTTATTGAATTTATTTTTCTTTTTTATTATACTTGTGTTTTTTTTTGTTCTATCTTTCTTAATTTAACTCATTTTTTATTTTAAACATTTGTTTTTATTATTTATTTATTAATTATTTCTTATTATTTCTTCATTTTTTTATTTCAAATAACTAATTAATTATATATTTTTTCTTTAATATTTAAAAAGTTTCAATTAAAATGGTGATTAAGGTATATCAGACTTTGGTGCTGCTTTAGCTAATTGCACTAATCTCTCAAATTTGACACTTTATCTTAGGTAATAACAGCATATTTATTTTGGATTGTGATATTTTTAGTTATAAAAATGAATTTAAAACAATTAAATCTTCTAATTTATTTATTAGTTTTTTATTTGATTTCTTTTTTTTTATTGTACTTTTGTTTTTTCTTCTATCTTTCTTAATTTAACTCATTTTTTTTTCCACATTAGCTTTTATTATTTATTAACTCATTTCTTATTATTTCAAATTTATCTTCATATTTTTTTCTTTCGAAATAACTAATAAATTAAATATTTTTTCTTCAATATTTAAAAAGTGACAATTTAATTGTTGATTAAGGTGCATCAGACTTAGGTTTTGCTTTAGCTAATTGTAAAAATCTCTCAAATTTGGATCTTTATATTGGGTAATAACAGTTTATTTATTTTTGGTTGAGATATTTATTTTTTGTTATAAAAATAATTTAAGATAATATAACTCTTCAAATTTGTTTATTAGCTTTTTATTTGATTTCTTTTTCTTTTTTATTATATTTGTGTTTTTTTCTTCTATTTTTCTTAATTTAGCTCATTTTTTATTTCCAACAATTGTTTTTGTTATTTATTAATTCATTTTTTATTATTTCATATTTTTTCTTCATTATTTTTTCGAAATAACTAATTAATTATATATTTTTTCTTCTATATTTAACAGTAACAATTAAATTTCTGATTAAGGAGCATCAGATTTAGGTTCTGCTTTAAAAAATTGCACTAATCTCTCAAATTTATCACTTGATCTTTCGTAAAAACAGTTTATTTATTTTGGATTGTGATATTTTTCATAATAAAAATAATTTAAGACAATATAACTCCTTTAATTTGTTTATTAGAACTTTATTTGATTTATATTTCTTTTTCTTTTTTATTTTACTCTTTTTTCTTCTATCTTTCTTAATTTAACTCATTTTTTTTACTTTCAGTAATTTCTTTTATTATTTGATAATTAATTTCTTATGATTACATATTATTTCTTCATTTTTTTTTTCTAAATAACTAATTAATAATATTTTTTATTAAACATTTAAAAAGTGGAAATTATATTAGTGCAACGGGAGCATCAGACTTAGGTTCTGCTTTAGCTAATTGCACTAATCTCTCAAATTTAACACTTGATATTAGGTAAAAATAGTTTATTTGTTTTGGATTGTGATGTTTTTCATTATTGAATTTAAAACAATATAAAACTTCTAAATTGTTTATTAGCTTTTTATTTGATTTCTTATTCTTATTTATTGTACTTACTTGTGTTTTTTCTATCTTTCTTTATCTTACTCATTAGTTTATTATCGACATTTGCTTTTATTATTTATTAACTCATTTTTTATTATTTCATATTTTTTCTTCATTTTTATATTCGAAACAACTAATTAATTAAATATTTTTTTTTCGATATTTAAAAAGTTACAATTAAATTGGTGCGATAGGTGCATCAAATTTAGGTTCTGCTTTAGCTAATTGCACTAATCTCTCAAATTTGACACTTGGTCTTGAGTAAATTCAGTTTATTTGTTTTGGATTGTGATCTTTTTAGTTATAAAAATGAATTTAAAACAATATAGCTCATCTAATTTGTTTATTAACTTTTTATTGAATTTATTTTTTATAGAACTTTTGTTTTTTTTCTTATATCTTTCTTAATTTAACTAATTTTTCTATTTTCAACATTTGCTTTTATTATTTACTAATTCGTTTCTTATTATTTAATATTTTTTCTTTATTTTTTTTTTCGAAATAATTAATTAACAATATATTTTTTCTTCAATATTAAAAAAGTAGAAATTAAATTTGTGCAACAGGTGCATCAGACTTAGGTTCTAATTTAGCTAAATGCACTAATCTCTCAAATTTAACACTTTATTTTGGGTAAAAACAGTTTTTTTCTTTTAGATTGTGATATTTTTCTTATAAAATGAATTTAAAACAATATAACTCTTCTAATTAATTTATTTATTAGCTTTTTATTTATTTCTTTTTCTTTTTTAACAAGTTAATATTTTTTATATATTAATTGTAAAAATAATTTTTAATTAAAAAATATCATTATATTTAATTTTTTTTAGTATTTTATTTTAATTTAATATAATATTGAAGTGAAAACAAAATTAATGAATCATAATAATTGAAAGTAAAAGGCAAGTGTCTTAAATCAAAAAGATTAGTTATCTTTGAAATATACTTCGATTGGTGATAGAGAAGTGGTAAAAAGGATGAATAAATATTAAATACTTTCTTAATAGAAAATAATATGTTTTATTACATATATATTGTTATAAGATATTTAACCTAAAATATAGATATATAGATTTATTATTATTGTAAGATACCATACAAAAATTTAATGATTTGCTTGCCACTTTTTATGAAATAGTTTTTTTAGTTATTTATTAAATATCTAGCTTATTTATTTTGATATTTTATAATAGAATTATAATTAATAATTTAATTTATAAAAATTTCAAAAATAAATAATTTTTTAAATCAAAATTTTTGGAAATTTAAATATCCTTTCAGATAAATATTTTGGGTTACTTTTTAATAAAATCTGTATTATATTTTATTTGTTCTTTTTATCTATTTATAATTTATTAATTAATTAAATTTCATAAATTGCTATTCAATATTTTGGAAATAAAAAATAAATGAAATAATAGATTAAAGAATATAACGAATTAGAAGAAGTAATTATTAATTTTTTTATTAATATCATTTAAATTTATATAAATAAATAAAAAAAGTTTTTAAGCTCTTCGCTTTTATCTCATTAGATTCTCCATATTAATCTTCGGTATATTTAATTAAAAAATATTATTTTTATTTTTATTATTTATTATTAATAATTTATTTTTATATATTTAACTAACTTTCAATTTATTTAAATAAATAATTTTTATTATAGAAATTATCATCATTATTCATTCATTAATTTTTACTAAAACAAAAATTTTTTAGCTATTTTAACTTAATTTTCATTTAAATTTTTAATTATTTATTATACATTTTTATTATTTGATATTTTTCTTCATTTTTTGCTATTAAAACTTACACTTAATAAAAGCAGTAAGTTTATTAGTTTTTGATTGTAATATTTTTAAAAAGAAAAGTTAATTTAAAACATTAAAGCTCTTTTAATTTATTTTCCTTTTTCTTTTTATCATAATTTCTTTTTTTAATTCTTTGTTAATTTTATTAATTATTAATTAATCTTATTTTATCATATTTTTTCTTCATTTTTTCCTTCTAATTAACTTGAGTGAAATGCCTATTTAATTAATAAAAGGCGAAATATAATATATCTTAATAACATACTAAATAAAGCTAAATTAGCAAAATTTTATTTTTTAGTTTTTAGAAAGCTTTAAATTCACAAAATGTAAAATTTTAAATAATTTTTACAGCACATTCTAAAAACATATCATTTTTTTTAAAAAAAATAATTTTTGAATTAAACTTCTTGTAAAAACAGTTTATTTGTTTTGGATTGTGATATTTTGAATTATAAAAACTAATTTAAAACAATAAAGCTCTCTTTTCTTTTTCTTTTTATTGCGCTTGCTTTTTTTTTGTTCTTTATTTGTTAATTTAACTCATCATTTTCTTATCAATTTTTGCTTTTATTATCAATTAATTGATCTTATTATTTCATATTTTTTCTTCATTTTTTCCTTCTAATTAACTATTTAATGATGTATTCTTTCTTCAATATTTAAAAAGTTAAAATTAAATTGGTGCAAAGGGTGCATCAGGCTTAGGTTCTGGTTTAGCAAATTGCATTAATCTCTCAAATTTGTCACTTTATCTTGAGTAAAAACAGTTTATTTGTTTTGGATTGTGATATTTTGAATTATAAAAACTAATTAAAAACAATAAAGCTCTCTTTTCTTTTTCTTTTTATTGTGCTTGCTTTTTTTTTGTACTTTCTTTGTTAATTTAACTCATCATTTTATTATTAAGTATTACTTTTATTATCAATTAATTAATCTTATTATTTCATATTCTTTCTTCATTTTTTCCTTCTAATTAACAATGATATATTTTTTCTTCAATATTTAAAAGTGGCAATATAATTGGTGCAAAGGGTGCATCAGACTTAGGTTCTGGTTTAGCAAATTGCATTAATCTCTCAAATTTGTCACTTTACCTTTAGTAAAAACAGTTTATTTGTTTTGGATTGTGATACTTTGAATTATAAAAACTAATTTAAAACAAAAAAGTTCCCTCTTGTTTTTCTTTTTATTGTGCTTGCTTTTTTTTTGTTCTTTCTTTGTTAATTTAACTCACCATTTTATTTTTAACTTTTACTTTTATTATCAATTAATTGATCTTATTATTACATATTCTTTCTTCATTTTTTCCTTCTAATTAACTATTTAATGATATATTTTTTCTTCAATATTTAAAAAGTTAAAATTAAATTGGTGCAAAGGGTGCATCAGGCTTAGGTTCTGGTTTAGCAAATTGCATTAATCTCTCAAATTTGACACTTCAGCTTGGGTAAAAACAGTTTATTTGTTTTGGATTGTGATATTTTGAATTATAAAATCTAATTAAAAAAAAATAAAGCTCTCTTTTCTTTTTCTTTTTATTGTGCTTGCTTTTTTTTTGTTCTTTCTTTGTTAATTTAACTCATCATTTTATTTTTAACTTTTTTTTTTATTATCAATTAATTGATCTTAATATTTCATATTCTTTCTTCATTTTTTCCTTCTAATTAACTATTTAATGATGTATTCTTTCTTCAATATTTAAAAAGTTACAATGAAATTGGTGATGAAGGTGCATCAGGCTTAGGTTCTGGTTTAGCAAATTGCATTAATCTCTCAAAAATGACACTTAACCTTAAGTAAAAACAGTTTACTTGTTTTGAATTGTGATATTTTGAATTATAAAAACTAATTTAAATTAATAAAGCTCTCTTTTCTTTTTCTTTTTATTGTTTTGCTTTTTTTTTTTGTTCTTTCTTTGTTAATTTAACTCATCATTTTATTTTTAACTTGCGCTTTTATTATCAATTAATTGATCTTATTATTTCATATTCTTTCTTCATTTTTTCCTTCTAATTAACTATTTAATGATATATTTTTTCTTCAATATTTAAAAAGTTAAAATTAAATTGGTGCAAATGGTGCATCAGGCTTAGGTTCTGGTTTAGCAAATTGCATTAATCTCTCAAATTTGACACTTGACCTTGGGTAAAAACAGTTTATTTGTTTTGGATTGTGATATTTTGAATTATAAAAACTAATTTAAAACAATAAAGCTCTCTTTTCTTTTTTCAATTAATTGATAATATTATTTCATATTCTTTCTTCATTTTTTCCTTATAATTAACTATTTAATGATATATTTTTTCTTCAATATTTAAAAAGGTACAATGAAATTGGTGATGGAATGGAATGGAATACTCGCACATAAATATGCACTCAGAATACATCTTAATTAAATTATATTATAGAAAAACAATTTTATATATTTTATTTTATTTATTTTTTTTTTGTGTTAATCTGTAGGTCTAGATAAAGGTTTTCAAAGCAATTTGTTTATTTATTTAATTCAAATATTATATATAGTATCAACGTCACTCCATGTAGTTGCCGGAGCTTCCGTAAAGATTGATATAAATTAAAATTAATTATAAATAAATATTATTAATTAATTAAATTCTATTATAAAATTTTTTATTTTTATAAAAATAATATTCAAATGCATCAGCCATTCAAAAAAATAGTGATCTCAATTCACTAAATTTTTTATGGAATTTGGCTATAATTATCTATAAAATTTTAAAAATCAGAATCGATATTTTGAATGAATCATCTATTATCAGATCTATTAAAACAAAAAATATAATAATTATAATAGGAATGTCTGTCAATACTTAGAGCTGATCCAAATATAAATATTCCAAATTATTTCATAGTCAAGTAATACTCATAAAGAGAGAGCATATTTTTGAGCTAATATCACAGAAACTGTGCAAAACGATCTAATTCAAATGCTTCTTATCTTTATTCTGGGAATATTTTCACTTAGGAATAAGTTGAGGGTTGTAAGAAAGTTGTTTATAGAGTTCATCAAATGAAGGCAAAACTATAGTTTACCTCTTACTTTTAGGGAGAGTTACTTACTCTACCTTAATTTATAGGAAGAGGACTAAGTATAGATTATAGTCCTCTTGATTTAAATACAAAACCCCCATTTTTTTATCAAGCATAATTACCTCATTTTTAAAGAAATGAGTAAGTTAGACATTGAATGTCATTTAATAATTTAATAATGTTGCAATTAATGCTAAAAAACTTAACTTTTACTAAAATCAAATATATCCTTAAACCAGATACTTTACTAATTAATTTTTAATAGATGATTCTAACAAAAGGACTGACGATAAGGATGAAATATCCCAAACAGAGCTAGCTAGATTTTTATTTTAAATTATAGATTCTATAAATTAAGTTTTGAATACAATAAAATATGTGTGAAACTTACTCTGACTGATAGATAGATTGATATAATAAGATTTTTGATGATTCAAATCCTCTCAATTAAATTTAATTAAAAATAATTTTTAATTTTAGTTTCAACTATTAATTATAATAAATTAATATCATTTGGAAATGAGAAATCTAAGTTTTGTTGAACGAAAAATATTTTATAAAACTTATAAAAGTAAATAATCGGAAAAAGCATTAAACAAAAAACAGATGAGGGAAAATCGGTTATTTATTCCTGAATTATAAATAGCTAACAATAAATATTATTTTATAAATAAATGATTAATATAATTTACCCGAATTCTTAATTGAAATTAGTAGCTTTATATTTGTTTTTTAAAATAAATAGTAAATCACTAAAATAAATACTTTTGTTTTAACTTTTGCTCCACTTAAAAGTAAGTACTAACCAAATAAAATCAGGTTCAAGGTTTGATATTAGAAGTAATCTTTTTTTAGTATTCTCTTTTCTTGTATCTTAAAAAAGAAAAAAATCAGAATTGCATGATTTTTTATTAAATTCAACAAAAAAACTATTAATCAAACTATAATTTCAGAAAATTAAGAAAATAATTAGTAAAATAAGAAAGGAAAGAAATCTATTTAATTAAGATAGAAATATTAAATACTTTAAAATGAGTAGTTTTTAAAGCATTTAAAAATTAAAAGTATCAGAAATATAAGAGTTATTAGCACCACTTAGTTCCATTAACGTTGACAAAGATTTATTAGTTTTTATAATCGGAACATAGTATGCGTATAAAAAAATAAATAAAGATTAGTTAAATGAGTTTGTCACATAGATTATCTAATTATACCAATAGTGCAAAAGTAAAGGTCAATATTTAATCATAGAGTAGGTATTTTCTTAGCTTATTGATGGCGAAGAGCAAGAACCCTTATCTTTTATAAAGTATTAATACGATTCAAATTTTAAATAAATGAATTTGAATAGTTAATCAAAGCCGTTAAGAGAGGTTAGCAATTTTTTATCTTTTTTTAGCTCTATAATTATCACTTCTACATGATTGAGTTCAAAAATGGTTAAGTAAGAAAACAAGCTACTATTATTAATAATAAAAATATAAAAAACAACCAACCAAGAATCTTAAATAAACCATTTTTAAGATTTAGATTTCTAAATAAAAAACAAACAAGTTCAATAATATCTTTGTTAAATTTTAAGACTTCATTTTTAGCATATCGCAAGATATTTATTCAAAGTTTTTTTACTACTTATTGATTTTTGATACTTTTCTATTAGAATTTGATATTAATTAATTAAAATTTTTTAAATAAATGAATGATCAAAAAAAGACTATTTATTTTATATAGTAATAAGATGATAAAATTGAAGAATCTAAAGAAGAATAGAAATCAGAAATATGGAATTGCGATATTTGCTTTGAAAAAATGACTGATTAAGATTATTGGCCAATTGAATGTTGTCATAATACATATCATAGAGTTTGTCTTAAAAAGTATTTTAATAGCTAAGTAGAAGAAAGAAGGTTTCCTATAAAATGCGTTAATAATAAATGCCCTTAAGTGGTTTCATAGCAAGATATTAGAGAGATATTAAATGACTCAGATTTCCAAAAATACTCATATTTTTAAATTAAAAATTATATTGAAAAATAAGGAGACTAAGTAAAATTTTTTAATTTGATTTTCATATTTTTCAACATAAATAAATAAATAGGCTTCTTGGTGTCTAACTCCAGATTGTTAATACGCCTTTATTTTAGAAAACAACTAAAAAAGATTAGATTGCCCTTTTTGTAAAAAAAGCTATTTGCCTAATTTGTAATTAGATTTATCATAAAAATTTGACCTGCAAAGAAAATAAAATTCAGAATAGCTATTTAGTAATTAATTTACTCATTTTGAACCAATTAATAAATAAATATTAATTTTCATAATTTCGAATAGGACGAAGATGTAAAATTCTAAAAATTAGTTAGAGATTAAAAATTTAAGTAATGCAATTAATGTAAAATGTGGGTTGAGAAAAATGAAGGGTAAAATATTTTTTAATTTACATTGAGCTCTAAATAATATTTTTAATTAAAAGCTGCAATCACATGACCTGCAGATGTGGTTATGAATTTTGTTATATTTGTGGAGGGATCTATAATTAATGTTTATGTTTTTAAAATGGAAGTCCAGAAGAAATCCCTTTTGATACAGATGAAACAGAAACCAGTTAAGTTAGAAATGAAAGAGAAATTCGACAAACGTCCTATCTTAATAGAAATATTGACTATTTACCAAATAGTTTAATTGAGTTCAATAATAATGATGTTTATAACAACAATAACTAGACATTTTAAAATCCAATGTAATAATAGATATTTGTTATAAGTAAATAACATTTTTTTTATCATGAAAATAGAAGATTAGAATCAAGACGAAGATCTTTTGAAGAAATGCAAAAATCCAGTTCAATAAGTACAGCAGATTATAAAGAGAATTAATAATTTAATTTCAATATTTTAGATTTGCTTAATTAAGAAAGAGAATCTATTGAGGAGGAAATTAATTAAGAAAATTAATAGGATTTTAATGAAATAATTATTAATTAAATTAAAGTCAATTAATACCAAAGAAAGAAAAATAATGATAAATTCAATCAATACCATTTCGATAAACCTTCTAATTAATTACCACCACATTAATATAATTTCCCTTAAATAAAAACCAAAACTAAATTTTGATGAGCATCCTTAAAAAATCAAATTGAACAAATAGTTTTAAAATATAGTCTAAATGAAATAAAAAGTGATAATAATTAAGGATGAAATTTCATAAATTCCTGTAATAGATTTTTTTAGACAATCAAAAATTAGAAAAGTAATATAAAGTTAAATATTGACACTAATCATTTTTAATGTAATCAAGAATAATAAAAAAATCAACTAATAAATGTAAATTAAATAGTTAGTTATACATCTTTACTTTAGAATCTAATTTTTTATCTTTAAATGATAGTTTATTAACTTTAAAGAATTACATTTAAGTATACCATTTGATTTTTTAAAGAAATTTTAAACAAGATTTATGAATTATTATTTTAACTCGTATTTGTTTATGTATTTATGAAAATATTATTATTTTTATATATTTTAAATTTTTATTTTATATAGTTAGTTAAAATCATTTTTAATGTTAAATTAATTAAAAAAATAAATTGAAATATACTTATAGATAAATAAACATATGTGTGATAAAAATTATATTAAAAAAGATTAATATAAAAATGAGTCAAAAATAATGGTTTATGCATCAATGACAAAATGTGACTGATATTTAAATTCTCTCATAATTCAAATAATTCAAGGATAACTACTAATTTTTTTAAAATAACAAAATAAAATTTATTTATTTATTTATTTATTGATTAACCTACTCTCAAGATGTTAATTTGCTTTTCAGATTTATATTTTGAATGTTCAATATAAAAAATTACATTCTCTAATAGCTAATGATGATATTATTGGTTGACCATTTATAAATTATTTTAAATTCTATACATTTATCATTATTTAAATATGGTAGATTAAATATCAAAACAATTTACAATAAGTGAGTGATTATATTTATGTTGATTCAAAATATATTATTTAATTAATATATGATAATTTTTTTAAAAAAATAAATAAATTATAATTTTATTGGACATTGCTTTAATATTATTTTGCCATTTTTAGTTAAATAATTAATAGAAATACAACACATTCAAGAGAATAAACTGTATTTTTATAAATTCATATTAGAGGATAATTTACTTGAAGATTATATAGTAAGATGATAAATTTTAATTTAAAAGAATGAAGCATCATATAAATATAATAAATTGCTTTTGTCATATTATTTTTGATTTTGCATAATTCTAATTTAGTTTCAAAGCGAATAAGAAGATTTTATTGTAAAAGAAAAGAAATACTAAACATGTTATTGGAAATTAATATTAATGATCTATCTTGTCTATCTTGACCATTGAATAAAATAATCATTTTGAAATAATCTTTGATCTAATTTGCTTGAGTGTTTATTTATTAAAAAAACTAGTAATAAATTAAGAATCAATATTAAATTCAATAAGATTGAAAGTTTTTTATTAAAGTAAAGTAAAGGAAAGCAAATATTCATGTTGAATTTTAATTTTGATCAAAGCTAGAAGGCAAATGCACTAACTAATAATTAGCAGAGCGTAAACAATCATGTTTTAATAGTTTTTTAAATAGGCCTTTAAAGTAATTAGTAATTAGGCTTAAAAAAATAAATAATGATCAGTTTTAATTGTTATCAAAATTTATAATAATGGCGAAAATTAAAATTGTTATTTTGATAATAAAAAAGGAGGGATATACACATTCTTAAAACTAAAATTACTAAGAAGGAAATAACATTTAGGATAATTAGTAAAATGATTAAGACACCAAAATAAATTCTAATAAAAAGATAGAATTTAAAATGGTGAATCAAGAATATTAGATAACAAACTTAAATGCTTTTATCAGCAAGAGAAAAATAGAGAAAATATGTGAAGAGACATTTAAATTTATAAAATAATAGAAAATATAATAGGGATAGAAGGCTAAAGAATTGGCTCCAGGAGGATGCTCAAATAGGGTCCTACTAAATTGTTATGATGGCATTTTTTTCATCTAGAAAAAATGTAAAAGTGAATAGGATGCTTCAAAAGAAAGAGGATTTATTAAAATTCTTTCAGAAGAGGGGATAACTCTTCCTCTGATCGAGAGAACTGAATCAGATTCAGGAGGTCTTTTTTATGTTGAATAAGCAGCTGGCGTCTAATCTCTTAATAATATCAGAGATAATATTTTATAAAAGGATTACTAAAAAAAATAAGCTTTTATTCCTTTTGCGAAATGTTTAATCGTGCAGCTTTTTGATAAGCTAAGAAAGATGCATGAGAAAGGACTAGCTCACTCTGATATAAAACCTGCTAATATAGTAATGGGATTCGATAGGTAATTCTATCTCATAGATTTTGGAGCTTCAGTAGAAATTTAAGAGTAAAACGAGGATTATCTAAAATGCTACACAGAGAGTTTTAATACTGTTTGGTATTTGTAAAATAGACCTAAAAAAAGAAAGGATATAATAAGATGTGATAACTGTTAGCTTTCACTAACAATAATTAGATTACTTATGGATAGTATATAAGACAAAAAATTTAAGTAATTTAATTAGATGGATGATAAAAAATTCTTGGATTTGGTGAGTTAAATCTTCAAAAAGTTTTAAAGTTAAAGCAACCCAAACGAAAATAGAGATTTAGTAAGAATATTAATTTTTTTATTTTAGTTTGTGCTAGACCCAAAAAACAGTTTTAATCAAATATCTGAAAAAATAATATAAGAAATAGAAACATGTTTAGAAGGTGATGAGCAAAAGAAAATATTGAGTTTAGAAATAAAGCCTCTCTTCCTTTAATTCGAAAGTGTATTTCCCTTTCAAGAATTAGTTGAATTGTTTTCTAATATAGAGGAGATAGAAATTGTGCCAAATTCAAGCCAAATTAAGATAAAAAGTATTACAATTGATAATATTAGGTATATAGAATTGCTATCAGAGTTGGGTTACAAAATAAAATGTGAAAATTATATATACATATAATACGACTTAATTCAAAAATACTAATAATTACAATAAAAAGCAAAAGAAAAGATCGCTTAAAAAGGAGATCTTCTTAACTAAGAGTTTAATTTAGAGATTTACGATATTAATCTCATTTAAAAAGAGGGTATCTTAGAGAGAATTAATATTTTTGGTAATATTTCAGACAAAACTAAAACTGAAAAAATAAAATTCATTTTAGATGAAAAATTAGAAATAAAATACTGTAATAATAATAAAATTTAAGCTAATTAAGATCAATTGCTTTAATCGTTAAAAAGTTTTTTGAAGGAAAAAATAAAGACATTTAATGATAGCATGAAAAATATAAAATAGAAATTTGAAAAAGAAAAAGAAAAAGAAATATAAAAAAAAGAAGAGTAATAAACAAATTTCAAAAACGAGTTTAATTGGCTGATGGTTTAGTTGCCAAAAGAAGTAGAAATATAAATAAATGAGCAAAATCTTGCTTGCTTAGAGCAAATAGTAGCTTTTAATGATAATTTAAAATCTTTAAAGTTAAATTTGTCTTTAATTTAAAACTAAAACTCTTTAAAGCAATTAGCCTCTATTTTAACAATACTTTTAAAAAAGGGAAAGAAAATGAAATATCTTGTTCTCTAAAATATTTAAATATATTAAGAAGATTTTTTGATGAATATTTTACTAGAAGGATGGTATTCTTTGACTTTTTCACTGAGTAAAGAAATAAACCAAAGCGACTTCTAAAAAATTTTTAATAAAGTAAATAGATTTAAGTCTAAAAAACTTGAAATTATATTTTAAGAAACCTAAAACTTGGAATATGTCTGCTCTGATTTGTTAAACATTTGTGGAAAAGTTATAAAATTAAAATTAAATTTCTTATAAAAGTCCTCCTCCTTGTAGCAATCAGATTAATCTTTTTAAAAAATCTTTAGTGTTGTACAAAAAAGCTGTGAAATATAAAACCTTTAAATTTAACTCAAAAGAGAAGAATCAAATTAAAAAATATTAAATTAATAATTAATAAACTATTTAATCAAACAATAAAGTATTAAATATTTTAAATTATAAATTGAAGAAACTCCAAAAAACTTAGACTAATAAGAAATTGATAAATAAATGGATAGCATTATTGAAAAAAGAAATAGAAGGAGTAGAACCTAAGATAATGAGTTTAAATATCATATTAAATTAGGTACTGTTGAAAAACTAAAATCATAATAAAAATTAGAATCCACTGAAAATATTTAAATACCAATCAATAATAATAATTTAGAAAACCTTGAGGAAATTTCTCTATAAAATTTACAACTTGAAATTTCTTAATTAGAAAATTATTTTTAATAGATATTTTAGAATGCAAAACTTAAAACTCTGTCTGTTTAAGTAACAAAAATATTAGAAAACAAAGAGAATAGAAAAGAGAATAATCAGTAATAAATTTTTTAGATAAATAAATTGAAAAATCTTTCAATCTTAAAACTTGATTTTTCTAAGATAAACATTTTTAAATGTTATCCAAAAATAATTTAATAATTTTTGATGTTAAATCCAATATAATTCAAACAATTTTCCATAGAATTTTAGGAAAATATCAATAATAACAATATAAAATATCCCAAACTAATATATTTGATTGAGAAAAATAATTACTAAGCTGACTTTTTAATAAATCCGAATTTTGATAATGAAGATAATAATTTTTAAAAATCACAAATAGATTTGTTTGAAATAAAAAGTGATTATTTATATTATAGCGTTGAGTTTAATATAACAGATAAATTTACATTTTAAGATAAATAGGAATTAAAACAGAAAGCCAACTATATATTTAAGAATGCTTTTAAAAATAAAATATAAAATTTAAAAATAATCATTAATAATAAAGTTGATTACAATACATGTGTCCAAATAAATTAAGCATTAAGTAATTCATTTTCATAAAATTAAAATTAATTGAATAAATTACTTAAAATATATTTCGAGGTAAATTTATAAGAAACGCTACTAATCAAAGAATTAATATACCATTTGAAATTATTAGATAGATCAATAAAACATTAAAATTTCTAATCTTTTACTCTCATTATTTATGAAATAAATGAAGAAATTTTTTAAATATTTAAACAATTTCATGATAAAGTTATTTTAAAAATAAAAGATTTAGATTATGATAAAAATAATTTCTAAAGGTTAGTAAAACTTTGTAATAATTAAAAAAGTGATCAACTAAATTTGCTTTATACTAATGAACACCTACATAACGAAGTCAAAAAAAAATTAGGTGATGATAAATATCAATAAATAAGCAAAATAATTGAAAAAACATTTGAAATAACTGATCAAGATGTTACTAATTCATCTTTAACTTAGAATTGTATCTCTGAAATTGAAGAAAAAAATTTAATTTCTGAAAATTAACACCAAAAAATTTTAGACAAGTCTTCAGATAATAATATATCTATTGATAAAAGTGAAGAGAAAAAATATTATTTTGATAAACTTAAAATGATGCAATAAGATTTCTATATATTTGTGCCTTACTATCAATTTAAGTACTTTCAAAATGGTGATCTTGAGCCTATGGAAATATCAAATAGCATTGGCAAATTTACTTTACCGTATTTTCATTTATTTAATTAATATTTTCATAATTTAGTTAAAAACAGAATAAAAAATTTATCAAATTAATTGAATTTTTTGAATCCTTTAATCAATTTTATAAATCTAATTAAAATTGGTATTTATTCTATTTAGTCAAATAAACATTTTTTCTACAAAAATTACCAATTTAATATTTTGAGTTGTTTAATAAATATTAAAATTTGTAAATAAAAAGGTTGAAATAAATTGACTATCTGGAAAAGCTTTAAATATGCAATTTGGATAACCCTGATTTGGATGAAATTACTATAGACTTTTCATAATAAGATAAGAACTTAAATTACTTAGCTGATGTAAAGAAGATGATTTCTCTGTTTGAATAAATAAGTAATAAAATAAAATCAGTCACTTTGAATTTTTAAGAAGCTCGCTCTGCTTATTTACATGCCGAGGCTTTGGAATAATTAGATTTAATATATAAACATATTGAAAAAATGATAAATTTAGAAAAACTTATTATTTATACAGATAATGATCAATTTGATAGATAATTTTAGATCCAAAATTTAAAGAATCTAAGACATTATGAATTGCAAATACATAATGAAATCAATAACTAATTTATATTTGAAATAATTGATAATGTGGAAAATCACCCAGGTTTGGAATATTATAAAATTTTCTACTTATTAGAAAATAAAAGTGAACGATCTTTTATTTCAGATGAGGAATTAGAAATTTAGATAGAACAGAAAAATATATTTATTCAAAATATCTACTGCAAAACTCAAATGCACAATAAATTTTGCACATTTATTCAAAATAATAACTAATTATTTAACAAAAAAAACACAAATAATAAAATAACTTTGAATTTCAAAAAAGCTTAATATGTTAGTTTCTCATTTCTTAAAAAAATCTATGAATTTATAAAAAACCATTTCTAGTAAAAATAAATGGAAATCATGTAGTTAGAACTTAATTTTGAAGAAAGTATTTTCTTAGACCCAATAGTTTAATTCACAAAAAATTATCAAAATATTAAATGTACATTTAAAAAATAAGACTATCATTAGTCTTTTATTAACAAAATAAATGAAAATTATTGATAACATCAATACATATTTTATATTCTTGCAAACCACTAAAATATAATAAAAAAATTTATTTAATTTTTAATTATTTTTATTCTTTAAATAAATTATTAAAATAAAATTGAATTTATTAACTCTTCATTCAATTTTATCAATTAAATAAAATTTATTTATATGTGATAGATAGATTACCTTATAAATAAATAGTAATTTTCAAATAATAAATGTAATTAAAAAATTTACAAAAATCAAGTAAAAACTTAAATTAAGGTTTATCTTAAAGAATTTCAAAAGGTTTAAAGTATTCTTAATTATTTATTGATTAAGTTAGTATTTAATAAGTTATGTTTTCATTATTGATAAATAATTTTAATAAATTTAATTTAAAGATTTAAATTAAATATTAATAATAAAATTTTTTGTTAAATTTTATTCATAAAAAACAATGAAAAATATCTTTATAAAGAATAATTTATAATACAGCTAAATGCATTTCTAAAATTTAGTGGAGTGGCCTCACTAACTATTTTTTAGAAAGGCCTTTATTTTTTAAGCAATAATAAACTAACTAAAATTAAGATTAGTAAATAAATAAATAAATCTAAGCAATTAAAGTAACTAAAATTTTATAAAAAATGAAAATTAAAAATTTTGTACTTTATTTAGATTAAAGATAACTCTAATTAATTTGAAAGTAATTTAGAATTTTTTAAAAACAATTAAAAGAATTTCCCAACTTGAGTTAATTAATAAAATCTTTATTTAGTATTTTTCCTACTATTTAGTATCACTGTTGGTTGAATAACATTTTAGTTAAATTAAAAATACAATAACACCTTAATAATTTTAAAAATATTCTGAAACAGTAGAATACCATTAACTTATAAAATAAAATAAATAATCTAAATAAATTTAAATAAATTGATATAAATAATCTTTACAATATATTTATTAAGATGTGATTATTATTGAAATAAAAAAATTTTTTAAAACCGATTTGATTAAAAACTTAAATTTAAAAGGTTATCTGATTGATTATAATCAATATTAAGAAAAATCGATTTTAATCGATGCACACCTCTAGTTATAGCTGTATTTATTAAAAACTTTTGAATAAGTTAAATTTAGATAAACTAAGAATACTTAATAAATCATTATGAGGAAAATTAAAAAATATAAAAAGAAATATCAATAAAATTTTGATTTTATGTATCGAAATTGTCTATTTGAATTGATTAATTTGAAAATTTAAGATAAATTAAGATAGAAAATAAAATTGTATAAAAACAACTGATAATTTTAAAAATTAGATAGAAAAATAAATAATTGAATCTAAGAAATTAAAAAATGATTGAAAAAGGATAATATTTTGAAAAATAAGAAGATGTAATTCAAATTATTCATTTTTACTAAAATAATTTATTTATTTTATAAAATTAGTTTGCAAACTCAAATCTTTCTTCCCATGTTAATCTTGTTATTAAGTAAGGGTAAAAATAATTAATTTACTTTTTTATTTAAAATTTATCTTGATTAATTTAAAAATATTTTATTTTTTAAATATTTACTTAATTGAAATCTTAAAAATCATTCTATAAATAAATATTAAAATTAAAAGATTACTTTAGGAAGATTTTATCTATTGTATGGAGTTTTGTAATAATCTCTAAACATTGGTATTAGATATTAGGTAAAATAGGTTTTTGCTTTTATTAATCTTAATTGCTAGAATTTAGGAAGAAAATTTTAATTTTTCAATGATTATTTTTAATTAAAATATTTATTTTCCTTCTTATGTAATGATTGTTTTTTCGATATTTATTCATTTATTTAATTCATTATGTATTTTTTTAATAAATAAAAGTCTTTTTTCAATACTTTTCATAACAAACGTTTAAAATTTTATTTTATTCATTACTAAATAAAAACATATTTATATTAAATTAAAAGTAAAGGCTTTCCTCACCCAAAAAAATTAAATAGATTAATTGATATTTTAGGCTGTTTAAAAGATTTTTGGAGTTTACATCTGAAGCTGAAGTAAATAAATATTTACACTTATTTTTTTATTTACTATTTATCAATTTGCTTTAAATTATATTTATTTATTTATTTATTTCTTTATAAGTTTAATCATTTCAGCTTTATAAATAAATGCCAATAAAAACAAACATTTTTGCTTATATTTATCAAGATATATTTTTCTCCTTCAAAATAGTTTGATTAACTGTTTATAATTTTTTGAAAAGCATTTTACATTTTGATGTTAATGATATAACGGGCTTATGTACTTCATTGTAAAAGTACTCTAATATTTCTATGTTGGAACTCTCATTATTGTAAATATATTTTTTCAAATTCAAAATAAATTTTAGGTTTTTACTTGCTTAACAAAAATTAAAAAAACTTACTTTTCATCTAACAATTAAATTAAAAATTAACTTTATTTATTTTATGTTGATTTCTTTTTTTATTAAAAGCTCTTACCGAACTGATGATAAAATGTTTATACATTTAGGTTATTCTTTATCATAATGCAAAAATCTACGTTTTTTGACTCTCTTGTTTAAGTTAATTAGATTTTATAATTTAAAAAAAATAACTTTTAATTATGATTAGCTAGATAGGTTTTTATTGACTGACTGCATGAATATATTCTACCATTTCATAATTTAAACATTTATTTATTATACCTTAATTTTTTTAAATATAAATAAGCACTTATTTCATCTAAAATTTATTAACTATCCTCAATCATACAATTATTTTTGTTATCTTTTTTCATTTAATGATATCATTGAAGTTTGAAATTTTTAAAATTAATCAATCATTATTTATTAATAAATCAAGTAATATATTAATTGAAGATATAATAAGCTAATAAGGTGCAATAAGCTTTGCTTAATCTCTATCAAAGAATAATAATCTTTTGTAGTGTCGTATAAGCCTTGATTATATTGAAATGTAAATAAATTACATTCAATTTTTTAATATATTTATATAATATAAAGAATCTAAAATTCATAACTATTAAACACTAAAATAAATGAATAAACAATATAAAATATGTAATTAATTATGCATACTCAATAAAATAGGCTAAATTATTTTTGCTTGTATGGCTTATAAAATAATTTTGCTCATTAATTACTTACTTACTTATTTACTTACTTACTTACATATTTTTCAATTTAATTTATTTTTTCTATTTTTCTTGCCAAAAATAAATTTTAACTTATTATTTGAATAATTAACTAAAATATATAGCTTCAATGACAAACTTAGATTATTAAAATTTGTTATGAATATAAAAAAAATGAAGAGATTAGTAATATTTTAAATGTGATAAATTTGTTTTTTGTTATATAATTTGTTTTATTATTTTATATTTAAATAGAAATTTCATATTCTTTTTAACTAAATAACTTGCTAAGATGTAATTTCTGTTCAATTCTGCATATTAAGATCTCTATTTATTATTTAAGGTACAACTTAAAGTTAAGCTATCAATTTTGTTTAAAAGTTATTTTTAAATTTATCTTACCTTACAAAAATATATAAATAATTCAAAAATTTATTTTATTTTATTGAGTTGCATTCTTATTATCCTTTATATCCAATTTCTATTTCCTACTAAATTCTTAAGTAAACATTTTATAGAAATATTAGTATTTAATAATGAATGTTACACTAAATTTTTTATGACTTCTCTTATACAATACAAATTTAAAAATACATATAATTTATTTATTCTTTTTATCAACTTTAAATTAATTAATTAAATATCCATAAATTGCTATTCAATATTTTTGAGAAAAAAAATAGATGATTTCATAGATTAAATAATACAACAATTTAGAAGAAGTAATTATTTATTTTTTTATCAATGTACTTTAAATTTATTCTAACTAACATAAAAAGTTTTTAAACTCTTCGCTTTAATCTCATTAAGCTCTCCATATTGGTTTGAGGTAAATATTATTTATAAATATTATTATTATTATTATTTTCTATCTATTTAACTTTCAGTTTATTTAAAATGTTATTTTTCTAATGGAAATTATCACCTCTTTTTATTCATTTTAGTAAAATAAATATTTTTTATTTATTTTAACTTAATTTTCACTTTAAATTTTTAAAAATCATTATCCACTTTTTATTATTTGATATTTTTTATTCATTTACATTTTCCTTCTAAAACTTTTGCATGATAAAAACAAACAGTTTATTTGTTTTGGATTGTGATATTTTTAGTTATAAAAATGAATTTAAAACAAGATAATTCTTTTAATTTGTTTATTAGTATTTTATTTTATTTATTTTTCTTTTTTGTTGTTTATTTACTTTTTTTCTTCTACCTTTCTTAATTTAACTTATTTTTTTATTATTATTATTTGTTTTTATTATTTATTTATAAATTTATTTCTTATCATTTCATATTTTTTCTTCATTTTTTCCTTCTAAACAACTCGCTAATTAATTAATTATATATTTTTTCTTCAATATTTATAAAGTTACAATTAGATGGATGCAATTGGTGCATCAAAATTAGGTTCTGCTTTAGCAAAATGCACTAATCTCTCAAAATTGATACTTGATATTAGGTAAAAGCTATTTATTTTTAATTTTGGTTATTATCGATTTTTCAACGGCCATTAACAAGGTCCTTAAAAAAATGTTTATTCATCTAAATTTTTTAATAAAAAACACTAAGGACAAGACCATTAACCAAAAAAAACCAAATATAAACTAATTTAAAATACACCAAACTTATAAAAATAAAAGCAATAATAATGTAAATATAATTATTGTTTATCAAGCGTAAACTATTTTTGGAAAAAGGTTACTTGCTTTGATTATTTTTTTTTGGATTTATGGTAATTATTCCTCTTTCTTTTTAGATGATTCTTTTCTTTTTATTTTTTGATTAATAGAAGTAGTAAACTAAGTTTAAATTGAATTGATTTTGATTTTTAAGGTTACTATTAATAATCTATCATAATGTTTTCCTTTTTAAAATATCTCTTTTAATTTAATTAAAGAGTATTCATTTATTGATAATAATTATATTTTAACTTATTTTCTTTTGTTTTTTTCTTTTTTCAA